GATCCCAATGGATACAGCTAAAAGATGAACATGCTGACCTAGTAAGGATGGTTGTAAGAAATACCTTGCCGGTGAGAAAGGTGCAACACAGATGGAGCTTGATGAGCTCATCAAGGTGCCAACGGGAGAGGTGTGGGGAAGAAGCAGCAGTGGGACATACGTTTTGGGACCGTACACATGCACAGGGGGCATGGGAAATGGTCCTGCACTTTTTGAGTATCATCTGTTGCTAGTGGAGGAGACGGTAGGAAAAAGGACCCGACACACTTGTTTCACTGAACCAACAGAGAGGACTGATGGGAGGAGTGGAGATTAATAGAGGCAATGATTTTTCGTGGGGTCCTGTATGAAGAAAGAGTTCTGTAAGGGTTTTTTGTGGAAAGTTGATTATGTTGTTTAAAGGTTTAATGTATATAGTTGTATGTTTTTGGATATACGGTTGTTTTTGCGATATGAAGTTTTGGTAAAACATGGGTGCTCAATATGTGAAGCTTTGTAGGTGTAAGGTGATAAGTGTGTTGTTAATAAAATTTGTAAAAGATAAGGTTCCCACCATCATGTTTGGCCCAGTGGAGGGTGTCGGCACTTGCTCCAGCCTGTCCAAGTGCTGGCCTCGTATTGTAATGCCTCTGGGCCTGGTGCTCGTTCCCTCCTGGGGGAGCAACTACCCGTTTTGGTTTTGGTTTTTTAAGTCACACAAACAAAAAAAGGTTCCCATCAGCATATTTGCCCATGTGGGCCATGTGTTTTATCGTCACACTCAGTGTTGACTGCATTTAATCAACTCATAGTTGGTTTCCATTGCTCAGCACATGCTGCTTTTGGCAGCAGTTTAATGATAGGCAAAGTATTTAGTGTGATTTCCTTCAGTGCAATTAGAAGATGAGAGGCTTTTTGCCCCATGCTAACTGGGAGGAAAAACTTCATCTTGGAATCAAGTTAAAACAGTGTTTGTGACAAAGACATTTAGCAAAACATGAAAAATATGATCTCTCTATAACAAAACTTTATCACAGCAGACATTTGTTTGAAAGGGATGATACTGTACAAAAAGCAGGGAGCTTTTACAAGGAAAACACTTAAATCATGTGTTCTTTTATTCCTCTTTCCC